TAGGGCACGAGAGAGGGCGAGACGAGCCCCGCGGGATCGAGTGGGGGTTACGTGTGCGGGAATGCGGGTACATAGGGTTTAGGATTATAATTTATATTATAAGTAATAATATAAATATAAAAGTATTTAATATTTCAAAAATAAAAATTTGATTTGTACATTTTAATTCGTGCGTCATATCATAACAAAATGGATGTCATTTTTAAGTAATTCTGACATTCCGAAGCGTGGTCTATTTCGCCTTTGGATGTTGTTTTGACAAATTCATCGATTTGCATGCAATTTGCTAGTGTGCGGAATTATGGCAATATGGGTGTCTTTCCTAGCTAAAATTAGTGTTCCGGACGTGTTGACACAGTCCATTTTATCGTCAGAGGTCATCTGGAGAAATTCATATTTTCACCCATCTTTAAGCTCAATTCTAGTCTGATCTTGTGCAACTTAGTGAATTTTGTGCACTTTTTGTGTGTGTGATGATAAAGTCCTGAAGAGTTTTCTTAGGGCTTGAGATCCTATTGAAAATTTCTCTCTGAGTCTCCACATGATAGTCTTTAACCACTCAACCATACGACGATGATTTTAAGATCATCAATGCGAGACATCACAAGAGAAATAAGAAGTAGTTGGAATTTCTAAAGGGGATGGATTTCAATACTAGTTTTCTAAAATAGTCAATAGGAACCCCTAGATTTAGATCCTAGGATCCTAAGAAAAAAGTAATGACCTCAAAATGAGGTCAACAACCATATAATGATTTGTGAAGCTTCTAAACTCGAGTCTTCCCCTTTCGTCTGAGACCAGGAGGTAGTGACATATATAAATCTTCGTCGATATCCCCAATAAGAAAACATTATTGACATCTAGTTGGTGGAGATGTCATTGCTTAGTTGAAGCTAATGCAAGGAGTAAGCCAATTGTTATAAACTTTGCTATAGGGGTAAAGGTTTCCTGGTAATCTAACCCTTCAATTTTATTATATTCTTTCATCACTAATTTGGCCTTGTAGCGTTCAACTGTCTCATCTGCACGAAGTTTGATTATATATACTCATTTGCATCCAATTGGCCTTTTTTACAGACAGTAATGTTACAAGGGATCATGTGTCATTGGCGTTGAGTGCGGCAAGTTCTTCTCGTATTGCAACCTGCCACTTTGGATCATGAGTAGTTTTTGGTTCATTTTCAATTGAAAGAGTTGTGGTAAAAGCATGATGTTTAGGTGACAATCTAGATACGATAAGACATTGGTTAAGGGATAGAAGATACCAGGCCAGCACGGAGTTCGAAGTTGGGGTGTGTCGTGAGGGAAGAGAAATACCAACAAACTATTCACGCAAATGGCTAGACGTTTTTGTTGCTCTTATTGGCCATGATGATGATATTTGTTGGTTCGGATGCGCATGTTGTTCTGAGGATAAACTTGGACTGAGTGCGGGTGAAGGAGTCCCTTGAGAAGGGATTTCATTTTTTTGAAAAGAGAGAATATCTTCTTGAGGTAATTCATCGAATGAAAGCATGTCGATGTGGATGGTGGAGTGTGGCACTGGACATTTATCTATAGCGAAAGAAGAGAAAGGAAAAATGTTTTCATGAAAAATAACAACTCGTGACACAAAAACTTTCCCAGTTGAAAGTTCATAGACTCTATATCTCTTTTGAGCGTATGGATAGCCTACGAAAAGACATCGAATGGCTCTGGGATCAAACTTGGTTGATAGCTTATGATATGTTAAAGCAAAACAAAGACACCCAAACACGCGCAAATGATCATATGCGGGTTATTTTTGGAAGAGCAGAAGTCTTTCCTTGGAGAAGGGTGTTGGAGTTTGGTTAATTAGGTAGGTGGCAGTTAGGATTGTATCTCCCCAAAATTTTTGGGTAAATTGGCTTGAAATAGTAAGACTCGGGCTATGTTGAGTAGATGGCGATGTTTTCTTTCGACTAGTCCATTTTGTTGCGGAGTGGAAACACAACTGGATTGGTAAATGATGTTTTTTTCGAGATAAAAATTTCTCAATATGAATTCAAAACTATTGTCTCTTTGAATGATTTTGAACTTCAGACTGAATTGTGTTTCAACAAGATTAGGAATTTGATGATGTATGAAAGTGTATCTGATTTATGGTTTATTAAATAAGTTCATGTGCATCGTGTATAATCATCAAAAATTATGACAAAATACCACACTCCTGTGATTAAAGGAACATGGTATCCTCCCCAAATATCAACATGAATTAATTCAAATGGTGCTTTTGAACGAATGAAACTTGTTTGAAAAGATGAACGATTTTTCTTAACCAATGGGAAAATTAAACAAATAAAAACATTACAAATTTTCTTCTTTGTAATTGGGAAGGAAAACAAGTTGAAAACTTTATTCGATGGATGACCTAGACGTTTATGTCAGAGATTTGGGGCTGGTGAAGTAGCAATATTGCACTTGCTCTTTTGCGGAGCATCAAGGTAGTAGAGTCCTCCTCTCTCAGTTCCCGTCCCAATCATCTTCCTTGATCATTAGTCTTGTAGCACATAAGTGTGATAATTAAAAGTGGCAAGGCATTGTGAATCAAACACAAATTTGCTGATGGAAATCAAATTTAATTTGAAGGAACACATAAAATATTTTGTAAAACGAAGTTAGCAAAATGGATGCTGCCTATGTGCGTGACAGTTGCAGTAGCTCCGTTGGACAAGTGAACTTTTCGATTGGCGATACTGGATTTTGTAGTTGGTAGGTTGGTTGAATATACCATGTGATCGTGGCTATTGTATCAATAATTCAGCACACTTCTTTGTCAAAAATAGAGGTACAAAATGTTTTACCTGAGATATCGCTTATGGCTGATGTACTGCCAACATGATTAGCCATCAAATTAGATTTGTTCTCTAAAAGTAGTAACATGAGACTTTGATATTGTTCGGTTGTAAGGGTTAATTGTGGTGAACTTGTCGACGCACTGGTATCTGCATCACTGTCTTTGGGAGGGAGATTTTTTTCCATTCAAGTTTGTTGCCCAGTGGATTGGCCCTTTGCAGCTTCCTACAGTCATTGATAGTGTGTCCCTGTCATCCACAATAATCGCATTTGAGTCGCATTTGAGATATGCTCGACACATGTCTGAGGCATGCCCAATTTTGTCATATTTTTAGACTTCAAATGAGGATTTTTTGGCGTGAAAACTCTCTCTGGTTTTCGTGTGTTATTCTTCACGGCAAAAGCCGGAGCTTCCAGCTGTGGTACACTTGCATTGTTCATCCCGCTCTGTTTTTCCTCTTAGAGCATGAGAGAATGTGTCTTGCTGACATTGGGAAGAGGGTCCATGACCAAAATCTGTCATCTTATACCAGTGTATGTTTCATTAAGCCCTATGAGGGATTTCATGATTTTCTGACTTTGTTGAAACAACAACACTTACTTCATGGCACCACACGTGCATTTAGAAATGTTATATAGGGTGTCAAGTGGCTTGGTGTAATCAGCTCCAACTGCCATATCACCTTGCTTGCAATTTGGATGGCTTCTTCCATGTGAAAAATATGAACGTTGTTGGTACGAGAAAAACATTCTTTCAAATCGAGCCAAATTTCATGGGCACTCTCATTGTATATTATACTTACTCCAATGACTTCTGCAAATGTATTAAACAACCATGCCTTGACAATATTATCGCAGTGTCTCCATTGTTGAAGTTCTGTGGTGAAAGTTTCTGGTGGTTCCTTGACGGTGTCGTTAACGAAACTTTCTTTATTTTTGATGTTGAGAGACATCAACATGGCACGACTCCAGGTATTGTAATTTTCTCCATTTAGCTGCTGCGTAACGACACAAGATTGGGTTGATCTGAGTAGTGAAAAAAAAAGAGATCATTCGGATTATCGAATTTGCTAGTTTTAGGCTTGACTGAAATTTAAGTTTTGTTTATTATGTATTTCAACTTAGAGAGAAGAAGAGATGGTCTCTTAATAAGGCTCAGAATCGGTAGGCTCTGATACCATGAAAAGAATGGTGTATATTTCTCTCAATATCTTCATCATTACAATGGGAAGAATATATACAATTATACATGATGGGCATGTGTTATAATTAGTCCTAAAATAACGTCTATCTAACATAAATGGCTATTTATATTTCCATAAAAAGATGAGGTAAAATTAGTAGTTTAAACAATCAGCACTAATCGCATAATTACATCTGGATATCATGCATAGGATTGATTTTGCACTTAATTATATATGGATATCATGCCACTAATTGCTTAATTACATCTGGATATCATGCATAGGATTGATTCTGCACTTAATTACATCCGAATATTATACATAGAATTGACTGTGCAATACTTAACTAGCAGCCTTCTGAAAAGCAAAATGGGGAAAAAGTTGCCCTGAAAGGATCCTAAACAATTTTGTTGTCATCTTAAAGCATATTAGCATGACTTATGCATACTCCCAAAAGTCTGGCTAAATCAGAAAGACTAGTAACTGTTAACTATCCTTTTTATTAAGAATTAAGATGCAAATATAATTTCCAACCAAACTAAAGAGGCATTGACTTTTAACAAAATAGTCAAAGTAGGGCGGTTATTCATAAACTTTCATTAATAAATACAGAAATGCACGTAAATCGGCCTTTTCATCTTTTGGCAGAAATCCACTCAACAACAATACACCAAACCCCTGAGTACAAACAAGAAGCACAGCACTAACTGAAAAAAAAAAAAAAAATTGGAAAGATTATATCGCAGCAAAATCGTTGTGAAGTAAATATAATGCAGAAAACCATAATTTGTAGGTTTGGTTGAATATAAAAGCGCTGCATTGATTCAACCTCGGCTGAACTTAGCTGCATTTATTTCAAAAAAATTTATCACCGCTTCAAATTATTGGCAGCAAACCAAACACTATCTGAACAAATATAACCCAAACAGTAAATTCTTCAATAAAAATTAAACTAACATTAGCCAGAGAGAATGAAACTTGATGGATTCAAGTTAGACGCACCTTCGGGTTGATGGAAGCAATGGTGACATCCGGAGGCGAAACAGTAGACATGGCGGCGGCCGAGGGTGTGGATATAAGTGCGAAATGACGAAGAAATGAACGAGAAAAAAGCAGAGTGTTGGAGCGCAAGAATGGAGCGGAGTAGAAGCCTTTCAGTCCACCGTATCGGCGCGCAACAATGCCGAACGCGGAGGTGAAGGGCTGCATGTCTATGATCTGCACTCTTTCGAGCAAAACTGGCAACCGGAGAAAAAACTGGCGACGTTTGATATTTATAGGATTTAACTATTGATTTAACTTAAATTCAGCAAACATCAAAATAAATTTTAAATTTAATGTTCAAATTAACTTAATTAATAGTCTTGACGTATTTATGTGGTATTGATGATATTTGTATGGCTTTGAGGTACAATACCCTTTGAATATCAGGAAACATATGTACACAATATTCGTCTCAAATTAGGGTTGTAATATAGCCGAGCTAAGTCGAGCATATCATAGTTTGGATTTCGCTTAGTATAATTATAAGTTATTTGGGTTTGATTTGAGCTTGTATTGAGCTTTCATATATTATTTAAGTTTGGCTTGTTTATTTTTGTTTAATATTTGAATTTCATTTGTTTATGATAAATGAAAGATTATTTAAATGAACTAAATATTAAAACAATATGTATATTTTTATATAAAAAATTTAATAAATAATTTTATAAATTTGATTGTAGTTATTAATTTATCGACTATAAACTTTGTAATAATGAAATATAATTCATAAAACATGATCATATGAGATGTAATCTCTCATATTTTAACATGATCAAACTTATACTTTCAAACTTGCACCAAACTCTCGCATTCAGATGTAGATATTGGTTTTCCCACAGTAATATGCACTTGTCATTTTCTTATTTTTTTTAGATAATTTTGTAGATGTCGTCAATATTGATTTGTTACATCATTATTATTCTTATCATATATGACTTATAATGATTGCACTGTACTTTTTCAACGTCGCCTTTTAATCGGGTAGAATTTATGAGCGAAGTGAAAATGGGAGATATGAGAGATTAGAATTTTTAACTGATGTTTGCGAGAAAATTCGCGGTGGTATAGTAACGGATTATAGGCTTATCGTTGTGCGAGATTTCAGCACACACTCATATGAAAGAGAAACAAGTAGTGGCTACTCCAGAAGTTTTTTACGTGTAAAGCCCGTAAAGGGAAAAATCACGGGGCCTAGCAAGGTTGTGAAAATCCACTATTAATTTATGATTATAGAAATCTCTTATCCCACAGACATGAAAGAGTAACTATATTTTCAGATTACGAAGTTAACTGACAGCGTCTAGTTGGTGGTAATCAACGACGGTTGGCGGAGGTCGACGACGATCAGTGATGGTCTTCGGCGGTCGGTGATTGTCGACTGCGATCGGTGATGGTCGACGATAAAGGTTGACGGTGGTCAACGACGGTGGTCGGTAGTATTCGACGACGAGCGACGGTGATGCTGAACTACAGCTTCTCCTTAAGGTCTCTGACTCACTCTCTAGACTTCAACCCCCCCACCCATGAGAGGGATGGGTTTTATTTATAATGTTCTGAGTGCAATTAATGCAGAAATATGAATCATCTTGATCGAACGATACAGAGAGCTTCCTTCGATCCGATGACGTTTGATGGACATTTGAGTGCATTAATTATGTCAGAATTGAGTGATCTTGAGCTCATTTAATTCATCATATCGAGACACTCTATTCGACTATAAACTTGCAAGATTCTACATTTGTTTGACCTTCTAAATGCCTCTGAAAATCCTGTAAGAGTGGTTTAATGATTTTATCCGGGCTTGATTTGATTCGGATTTGACTAGTTTTTTATTATAAGTTTACTAAAGTCAGAGCACTGGATGACTCTCATTCAAAGTTTGAATATTTCGTGCTCAAAATATCATCTCAGGATCTGTGTTATGCTTCGAGATTTGTGCCGAATATTGAAAATTTGTCGGTGGCGTATCAGTTGCCCCCATATTTTCGAGCGAGATCATTTTTATCGTCCGAAAATATCAATATCCGGAGTATTTATGTATATGTATATGTATAAACTGACACACTGCCAACAATTTTTCATCATCTGACACAAATCTCGAAGTATAACATTGATCTCGAGACAATATTTTGAGTAGAAAATATTCAAACTTTTATTAAGAGTCATCTAGAGCTCTGATTTCAATAAACTTATAGTCAAACTGACCGGCTTGATGAGACAGACCCAATGATATAAAAACTAATCCAATCAAAGTCAAATCAAACCCGAATCAAATCATTAAACCATTAATGTAGGATTTCTAAAGGCATTTGGAAGGTCAAACAGATGTAGAATCTAGCTAGTTTATAGTCGAACCGAGCGTCTCGACAAGACAAATCCAACAAACCCAAAATTACTTAATTCAGACATCATTAAGGCACTCAAATGCCGATCAAACACCATCTGATTGAGGGAAACTATCTGGATCGTCCGATCAAGATGATTTATATTTCTGCATGAATTACACTCATAACACTATAAATAGAGTCACATCCCTCTCATGACGAGGTTGAAGTATAGAGAGAGAGCATGAGACCTTGACGAGAAGCTGTAGTTTAGCATCACTGCCGCCCGTCATCGAACACTGCCGACCTCCGTCGTCGACCACCGCTAACCTCCGTCGTCGACCACCACCGATCGCAATCGACCATTGCCGACCACCAAAGACCATCACCGATCGTCGTCGACCTTCGCCAACAATCATCGACCACCACCAACCAGACGCTGTCAGTTAACGTCACTTCCAGTCTCTGGGATAAGGGATTTCTGTGATCATCAATTAATAGTGGATTTTAGCAACCTGGGCAGACCCCGTGGTTTTTCTCTTTACGGACTTTCCACGTAAAAAAACTTATGAAGTAACTACTGTTTGTTTATCTTTTATCTCTGTATGTGATGAATTCTCATAAAACACTAAGACGATAATTCGTTACTATACCACCGCAAATTTTCTGACACGCATCAGAGATCATTGCACATTAAGATCTTGTCATTGCCTTCTATGCTTGCAAGCCTTAGTAACTCGAGATTTTGTATGTTTTGGGTGAAAATTAGAGACGAAATTGCGAGAGTGCAGCGATAAAGTGAGTTTTGTGGGGTATAAAGTTAATTTTAAGAAGCACTTCATACATACCACATAAATCTTATATATTTTCACATCTAACACCTAAAATTTAATAAAATAAATATATAATTATTATTTAAATAATATATTATACAGGCAAATTATCATCGAACTTAATATTGAGTTTTATTAAAAATGATTATTCAAGGTGCGTTAACTACTTTTTCACCAATAATACAATAATCATTTAAATTGCAATAACTATTTAAATTTAATTTTAGAATATTAAGCATGTGTTTGCTTACTTTGATAAAATAAGAGTGAAAAAACCACAAACTAATATTATTATAAAAAATAGAATATTTACAAACATACAACCCAATTCCTACATATTAACATCTAAAATTATTTATACCACCCAAATATTTCATTGCACTAAAAAAAATACCACCAAATAAACTAAAAAAAGAAAGTGAAGTACAACTTTTTCATTCACAAGGTGATGGTGGTATGTATGTCAAATTGAAGTATATGTTTTAGCTATGTAAATATATTGAAATTGGTGAGTTTGATAATAATTAGCTCTGACCAAAAAAAGTATGAGAAAGAGTATCGGATTGATTGGAATAAAAACATTTGTCCGCATTTTTAATAATTATTGTATTAATATTCTAAAAATAGTTAACTCATTTTTTCACTCATAATTGAATTTATTAAATTTATATTTACATCATAAAAATAGGGTTGTCAAAATGGATACTTTGCGAACAGCTTGTGTTCGGCTGGTTCGTCAAGTTAACGAGCCGAACAAGAACAAAGATTTATTCGTTCATGTTCGGCTCTTTTTGGCTTGGAGTAGTATTTTTTTAAGAATTTAATTGGCTACAAGACTAGAAATAATTATAATCAATTAACAATATTAATTAAAAAAATAGACTAAAAATTATTAAATTAGATTCAAATGATGTTTTAATATAAATAATAATTTTTAAATATTCCCTCAACCCTCAACATCTTATGGCTACGTGATTAGAGTTGTCGAAACGACTCTTTGTTCGTGAACAACTTGTGTTCGGCTCGCTAGGCAAACGAGCTGAACACGAACGCATTTTTTGATATACACAAGCCAACCACGAGCCCTCAGTCCTAGCATAAAAGTTTATGGCTCCTTTTTTGTTGGCGCAATCACTACTTTTGCCCTCTGGGATAGGGGTGCAAACGAACAAATCTCGAGTTTGTGTTTGATTCGTTCGAAATTAAGTATGTTTGAAATAGACTCACATTCAAAATTGTTTGTGAAGTTACTTTTCGTTTTCAGTTCGATTTGTTTGAAATTAATTCAAAATATTTGAGATGTTCAAATTGTTCAAATTGTTCAAATTGTTTGAAATCTTTCAAATTTATTTGCATTGTTTAAACTGTTTTAATTGTTAAAATGATAATAAATGTTATTATTAATTTTGTAATTACAAAAAAAAAAACATCCATCTATTAAAATAAAATTAATTCTCTAACTATATTATTGTAGATTGTTAAAAACAAGTTACAAATAAAATATATATTTAAATTTTCAAACTAAAATTCTTAAAAAACAATAAATTATTATGATAAAAGAAATAAATTTAAATTATTATTATATCAATTATATAACTTATATTATATAAAATATATAATATTTATACAATTAATATTAATATATTATTATTAATAATTTATATGACATAATTTTTTAAAATAGGATAAAATTTTAATATATAATTATTTTTAAATATGATAAATATATTATAAATAATTATTTTATATTACTTTATATTTCGAGCAAAAAATAATTGAACATGATCTAACACATCACTCTTCGTGTTTAGTTATTTATAAACTAAACAAAATAAAATTATGCTTATTAATTTCATTTACTTATCCAACGTATCAAATACGACAATTGTCTCTATTTTGACGGAAAAATATTACATCAGGAGTTATAATGTAACATTATGTTCGGAGTCCATTGATATGAGGACACGTGACTTCAAGAAAATGTGCACGCTATCTTGTGATCATGTCAGGTAACATAGGAGAATATTCTTCCCGTGTTATTTCACAATATTAATGTGTTATTGTGGTGGTATTGATATGTTATTATAATACCGAGAAAATTTTCAGAAAATAATAGGACATGAATATCACGAAAATAATATATAAATAGATCGGAATATCACCGAGGGACTAAAATGATTTTTTTAAAATTTTTTTTATCATCTCCACATAATTTCATTTTGTTGGACTAGGACATTATGAGTCATGAAGTAATATTTTTATGTATTTTGACAGCCCTCCTCGTGGATGCACTAAACGACCGCTCGAAGTTACCATGTGCGCAGTGTTGTTACCCTGGCGCCAGTAGCCGCAGCCGACCCCACTATTAGAGAAAAGCCCATCGTTCTGCTCTCCAATCCTCCCAGCCTCTCTCACTCGTCCGCCATGGCCAAATCCATCTCTTCATCATTTCTCTTCACTCCATCTCCTACAACACGAACCCTTCAACCGTTCTCCCACGTCCACCTCCAATCCCCAAAAGCTTTCCGCCGCTCAACCTACTCTGCCATCCCTCGAACCTCCTCCTCCCTCCCAATTCGCGCCACCGTCGCGATCGAGAAGGAGAGCCCAGAAAACGAGCGGCCCGACACATTTCTCAGGGCCACTGATGATCCCCATTCCTCCGTCAATGCCTCTCATAATTCAGTGCGTGCGCGGTTTGAGAAGATGATAAGAGAAGCGCAGGACGAGGTGTGCGCCGCGATCGAGGCTGAGGACGGAGTGGGAAAGTTTAAGGAGGACGTCTGGTCGAGAGCCGGCGGTGGCGGGGGAATAAGCCGGGTGTTACAGGAAGGTGGAGTTTGGGAGAAGGCTGGCGTCAATGTGTCGGTCGTGTATGGGATGATGCCTCCCGAGGCGTATAGGGCGGCGAAGGGTGGTGATTCTTTGGAGAAGCCGGGGCCAGTGCCTTTCTTTGCGGCCGGGATTAGTTCGGTTTGTGACTATGAATCTTATTTTTTGCTGGAGTTTGTGTAGCACATTTTAGATGAATTTATTGATTATGAATAATTGTTTCTGTGCTGTTTTGTTTGGATTTCGGGGAGGAAGAAACTGTTATGAGCTTATTTTTGCACTAACCTTAAGCTTAGTGGGCTCTTTGGCTGCCGGATTTTAGGGAGGGTTTAAACTGCATTCACCTCATATATTGCCAAAAGGCCAAAAGTGTCCAAGGAGTACATATTCTCAAATACGTTTAACTCAGTTTCTGCATAAATACAGCTATTATTTGATGATTAGGATATTGGATTGATTTAATATGAATGCATATCCTTATCAATCAACCAAAAAACATTAGTGCCACAATAATTTTTGTTATAGCTTATTGAACAACAATCTTAAGAACAATTTCACCAAACAACCATTCACTTTGGTTGAGAACATTATATCACACAATATTAAATCACATAACATAGTAAGATATGTTGAAGGACGACATTACTAAACAGAGCCATGAAAGCATAAATCCATTTAGATAATTTGAGTTATTGGGATAGGAATGTTATGCCACTGAGTTTTCTTCTAGGGATTGTTTTGATTCAATGAGGTCATGGTTATCATGTTTTAGGTACATGAATTTCAATTGTTTGATAGTTGTGTAGAGTTGATCAATGCTTTTAAATGGGAAGTGAATATTTATATATTTGATTCTTTTGTTTGGACTGAGGGAACTTTTATAGGAAAAAAAATTATCTTTGAGGTGCTATACTGAAAGGTAGTAGGATTATGAGTAGCATTTATGCGCACTTGCAGTTTATCTTATGAACCTGTAAAGTGAATGCTATTTTATTTGTTTGTTATCTCTTCAGTCTGTTCGTCATCTTACATTACCTGTCAAAGATTTTTTTTCCTTAAAATAAAGATGTTGAATATAGTGGAAACATGCTTGTGTATTTTTTCCCCCTTTCTATTATTTTTGTTTTCCCAAGTCATTTGCCTTTTAATTAATGAATCATCATCATCATTATTCTTATCCCAACTATTTGTGGTCATATACTTCTTGATTGAATCCAAGATAATAATATAGGTGCCGAACTGTTTTCATTTTTTGTGCATTTGATGCACGGTATTTATTTTTGCATTAATTTTCTCAAAATGTGGTTTGATTTTTAGGTTTTGCATCCAAAAAATCCTTTTGCTCCAACATTACATTTCAATTATCGTTATTTTGAGACAGATGCTCCAAAAGGTACGCTATTACAAATTTATTTTATCTCTCAATAATTTTATCTTTGGTATTTTTTAAAGTTTTTTTTTTATTTTTGCAAAAGTTTTTTGTTCATGACTTAATCTAAAAAATAAAATAAGATAAACTATTAACAGTAAATATGTATTGGTTCATGTTCTCGGGTTTTGTTGGTTTTATTTATTTATATTTGTGTACGGGTCTGACAATATCTAAGTTTATTCAAAACTGGAAACTATAACTTATGCCTTATAATAAAAATCCATTTTATAATAGCGGAATTCAAAACTATAAAGATGACTTCAAAACCTTAGAGCCACCCTTTAATTTAGTGGTTAGTGTAATTAGACGGACGACCAATTTAGATTTCCCTTTTAATTTAAATTAACCACTTGCCTTGGAGGCCCCCGAAATTGAATATCATTTAGACATACGATGTCTCTTGGATGTGCGTAAATGAAACATAATATGGAACGAGTAAGGACGCAACACGTCGATGCTTAAACTTCAATAAATGGTAACACACATGTTAGATTTCATTGAATATAGCTGTATTCAAACTAATATAGATAAAGTGTACTTAGATAAATTCATGCATGCCTGTGTGTATGCAAATATACATATGTATTATACATAAACTCTAAATGTGTAAATGTGATGAGTTTGAGTGAACTCGATTCTATTCAAGCTTAGTGTCATCTCTTAAAAGAGCCCTTAAGAGAGGTGGGCAGCCCATGACTTAAATACTGCTTTTCGGCCCTACACCTAGCCGATGTGGGACTATTTTTCTGTGACATTCTCATCCACTCAATCACGTGACACCCTCGTCACGAATCGGCTCCACCGAGGTTCCCACTGGACTATGGAGAGTCCACACACCTGACAGACAGTAATATGCTCTAATACCACTTGTCACCTCCCAAAAGAGCCCTTAAGAGAGGTGAGCAGCCCGGGACTTAAATACTGCTTTTCGGCCCTACACCTAGCCGATGTGGGACTATTTGTCTGTGACATTAGGGTGACTTGCAACTTTGCTAAAGTTTTCCTCTAGCCTGTCATTATTCAGTCATTCATCGTTTGAGCTTTGTTGTTATGGGGCAAAATGAACTCAAGTTTGTGTTGTTAAGGTTAAGGGCTCGTTTGGGACAACATAAAACTGCGGGTGGCGTTTTCAAAATGCCATCGTCATGTTTGGTTCGCACGGTCGATCTTCTTGTTCGAAAACGACGTTCATAGTTTACAAAAGACGCGGCCTGCAGGTATAATCCTCTTTCGTATTTCTGCGGGCCGCGTTCGTTTGCAGCATTTTACACCCCTGCCCTCGTTCGTGTCTGGGAGATCCCGAGCATCGTTCGCATTTGGGAGATCCCGAGCATTGTTCGCATCCGTTCCGTGGTTCACATCCACCGTGCTAGACACTCCTCTTCTTCGGCATTCGATTCTCGACAGGTATAACCCTTCTTTCCCTTCTTCGTCGGCACTCCTTCTTCTTCTTACGCATTCCATCTTCTTCTTCGACAACATTCTCGTTCGGATCTTCCCCCCCTTTTATTTTATTTTTCATTTTTCGTTGTCGCTAAACATATTGCAACAAGTTTTTGAATCTGAGATCCTAGCATTTTTTTTATCGGATCTTCTCGATTGGATTTTGAAGATCTTCTCGATCGGATTTTTTTCGTCGCTAACATATCGCAGCAAGCCTTGAGCATATTGATGAGGCAGAATTGGTGATTGGAGTAGGTGTATTGTTTACCTGGAATAAGTGGATCTTTACTCATTCTATCAAGCTTGAGTCGTATGGTTAACACTCCCCTCAAGCTTATGATGTGGAACGTAGCGTTACCTTGTCTCGAAGAATAATAAATATGGAATAACTTCCAGTTGATCTTGGGAGCTGTGTGTAAGACTTGTATAGCGCTGGAGTGAATGTGTTGGAAGATGAATTGATAATATTTGGAAGTTGCTTTAAAATCAGATGATAAAGAGTGTAGAGAGTGTTGCTCTTTTTTCTTTTTAACAAAAAAAAAACATGCAAGGTGATTTTGGTTCCTTTCCTTGGTGTGCTTCAGGGATCTCTACTTTTCTCAGGTAATGGTAACGATCGAGCATGGATGACCTATGTCTCTGCGGGTAACCATTGTGTTCACGTGTCTTTGTTATGGAACATGTTTGAAGCTTCAACTTCCCATTTTGTCCAATTTCCTTTCACTTTTCGTTATCTTCAAGCAACCAATTAAGGCCTTAGTTGCAATATTGGTGTTGTAATATGTCTAGTTTTTCTTTTTATTTTTATTATCCTGGCGTTGGATGATTTGTATTCAGCTTCTATGGAGATACTGCATATTGTGCAAGAATCATGCAGGATCCTTCTCCTTAACTTTCTAACGCTAGTGTTGTAATTTTTTAAAAAAGTACGGTTGTCAAAGTTGCATCAACATTTTTGTTATTAGATTTGAAGAAAATGTCTGTGATAATGTTGATAATGTGGAAGTGTATTAGTGAAAAAAAAAAGAAAATAAGAATGAGGTAGGTTCTCATGATTCCTCTTTTCAAATCATAAAAGAACATTCCCTTTTACTTTGAAACTGAGTAGCCCCTATTTGATTTAAAAAAAAAAACCTCTTCTATGTTTTATTGGCTTTAGGTGCTTAAGGGAAGACTAATCAAAATATTTTATGAATTAAATTTTGGTTTCATTTATGCTTTGAGACATCATTTTAAAAGAATTCTAGGTTTAGTTTTCACTATGCTTTCTTGGATTAATGGTTTGCAGCAAGTTTAGCCCAATTGAAATTCTTATTTATTTAATATTTCCTGGATGTTATACCTTTGGATGACATAGTGTTTTTATTGCTTGATGAGAAGGCATATTGTATGATTGTTTTGATTAACTTTTGCTGTATTCAAGGCTATTATACTCTTTTGATACTATACCAAGGAGGTCATGTGCAAGAAACTCTTAAACGCCATAGGTTAAGAGCAAGGATCATTCGATCTTTCTTAAACAAAAAGAGAAAAATAGCGAGAAAATTTGAATGACTCTGGGGTTTTCCAAAGTGAGCAGTCATACTCTTCTTTTGAAGGGAAAGCTTTTTGACTTCCTTTGACAACCCTCATTTATGACAAATTCATAAAACCTCCACACTTTTGTTTCAAAATTGACATATATATATACCAAAAATATTTTATGAATATAATACTTATGTGTTTATATACGTAGCATCTCATTTTATCAAATATATATGCATATAACTTAACTCTTGATATGTTTGCAAAATCTAATCTCTAAAATAAAGTGTTAAACTTTAGGTATGTTTTATATTAGGTTGGCCAATACATGCTTATATTAGCTTTGCTATATTATAACATTCTTTGATGTGATAGAAAATATTTGAGTTATATAAATATAACTCAACTATTTTGTATTTTCATGTCATAACATTTGTACTTTAATTTTGTTGAGAAAATTACAAATTCTGCATGACGGATTATTCATTTAACTAAAAGTATCTGCAAATAAGCTATTTACAAAACACATAAACCAAACAGCTAAATAACTTATCCAGAACATGGGCCGAATAGTCATTTATCCAGAATCAACTGTTTTCCAAATGCACAAACCAAACAACCAGCCAGCCTATCCGGATCAGTTGCTCATCAGCAGATTATCAAGATAAATTGCTTATTTGCTTATCAGTTATCAGCAGAAGCTGGATAAACTGCAGCTGCCCCAAACAGACCCTTAGTTTCCAATTTCAAGATTTTTGTTGAATTTGAGAGAAGATGATAGGGAAGAGAAAGGGGAGGGGAGAGGAGGAACTTCCATTAAAATAAAGTTGTCCAATATTTTACTGAATTCCGATAATGATGGATCAAATGGCAAATTAGAGATTACTTGCCTTATTTGATGGTAATGGAGGAGCTAAAATCGACATCGATGTATTATTTTTATGATGTCGTGGCACGAATCTATGGCAAAGGAGTGTCTAAAAGTGCTAGTTTAATGGGCAAGTGGTAATATCTATTGAAAGAAGAAGAGGGTGAGAAGATGTGGCTATGTCGTCTCAATGGAGGCTGCAAGGGTTTTTTGCACTGATGTATCTAGGAAGAAGGACAAGGTGTTATGCTTTTTGTTAGATTTATAACTGTCATTCCGTAGCTGTTATTAGCTTTTATTACTTTTTTTCTCATTATTTATTTTTTATTTTGTTTTATTTAGTTTTTATTTCTTTTCTTTTTTATGTCTATGGTAATTGGGTTTAAATACCCCTCTTATCAATAATGTGTGTTTAGGGCTGTTAAAAGGGCTCGTTGTTCGCGAACAACTCGTGTTCGACTCACTAAGAATCTCGTGTTCGGCTTGTTCGCTAAGTTAACGAACCGAACACGAACCAAGATTTGTTCGTTCGTGTTCGGCTCGTTTTGGCTCGAAATACCACTAATCAATTATATATATTTGATGAGCAGTATTTTTAAAAAACTTAATTTACTACAATGCTATAAAGATCTATAATCAATTATAAGTATTAATTAAGAAAATAGAATAAAATTAATTAAATTAGATTCAATTCAAATGATGTTTTAATATAAACAAAAATTTTTAAATCTTGCGTCAATTCTTAACATCTTATGACTATCTGATTAGGATTGTCAAGATGATTTTTTGTTCGTGAACGGCCCGTGTTCGGCTCACTAAGCAAATGAGCCGAACATGAACACACTTTTTGAGCTCGAAATATAAACGAGCCGAACACGAGCTGAGTTGGTTTCTACAGTAGAATTCCTCTGCCTTCCTTTATAAGTGCAATTGTATCTGTCTAACATAATTCCTACAGCAATCTAGCGTCCCTGCAGGTGTTCAGATTCATGCAATTGTATCTGTCTGTCGGTGACCCTACTTGAATTCATTGTTGGCTCAGAACCACAACCACATCTCCTTTGACTCAGTTGGAATTATGGCAGATTCCTCCAACTTTGAATTACCTTCAGAAATTGTTCTTGAG